CAGGTTCTATCAAGACTCAAAGGTTACATTAAATAAGAATTTTATTTTTAGAATAATTCACCCTCTATATCCATCATCACTATAGATTCGTATTGTTAGTTCCATCTGTCTTGAATCATTTACTTTTCGATAATTTTACTACTTATTTTGAGGAAGAGCAAACAAAGTTGAAAAATCCGTGTTCTCATTAGGGTTATTAAATTAAAAATTTCAATTTATGATTTACTTTAACTACATTTTGAACTTGTAATTGAATTACCTTAAGAAACTTATTTTCATAGTTAAGTACAATTTACAAGCTTTGAGTTACAGATTTATAATTTTATGAAATCAGTATTGTGTCTCTAATTTGTCCCTGAGAACTAAAATGCACATTTGTTGTTAACATTGTATGTAAGTATCTTTTATAGCTGCAAGGTTTTTTAATACCTTAAAATATAATATAAAAACACTTTTTGTGTTCCTTGTTAAGGAACCTTAGTACTGTTTGAACTCATTAAATTTACACTGAACGTGTGACAAAGCGTGATAATACTTAGTAAACCAAAAGTATAACTAAATGTAACAGTCCGAGTGTAACTCTACTTTCACTAGTAACATATCCTGATCAAAATATGATAGAGCAATTTGAAATAGCTTAGTCTACAAATTGCAGCGTTGGGAGTATTTGTTATTGTTACCGTTTTCCTCACTGTCCACTCTTCCCACACTTTACATTGATATCCCCTTATGCCACTCCTGAGTAGTTTTTGTTAGATTCTACATTTGTCAAAACATTACATCCCATACTATCCCTTATATTCTTGCCACTCACAAAGTACAGATGAAAGCCCCCGTACTGCTGACCAACATAATGGGCTCTCTACTACCGGCGGCGGCAGCTCTACAGATGAAACCATTACACCCGGGGCTCAGTGGCCCTATATAAGGCACTCGGTGATTTCAGCCCGAATCATTACTCATTACTTATTTATGAAGTCGCTCACATCCTTTTGTTACTTGCATTGTCATGTTTTTGCTGCAACTGTCAACTATGTGACCCAATTTTTCAATTGGGCTGAATTCAGAGTAAAGGTTTTGCTTCTTAAATGATTTATACTGTGGTTACGATTTATAGTGGCATTGTTCATTATGGAAACATTTCAGAAGTGAGTTTTAATAGCAATAGGTGTAATTAGATTGAACTCTTACTAATGCACTCAAATAGTCAAATAGCAAGTCAAATAATTACCAAATAAGGAAACAGATTTTATCCTTTAAACACATATAGATTTTTTTACATAGGTACCTTATAATTTTACAAGTCCATAACCCTACATTGTCGATTTAAAGTCAAAACTATTAATAGTATATTTCGTACCTAGGGCCGAAAATGAGGTTTTGCTGGCTCGAGATAGTTTTTAAATCGATCGAGAGCTGCTAAACCATTTCGGTCCGTGGTACGAACGCTATTTTTCACCACACTATACCCTATTACCACTATTCACAACTATAATAATGCACACTGATAGTCAAAACAACTACAACTTAAAGGTTTATGTGAAGAAATAATTTGAGGAATCAACAAAAATAAAAATAAATAGTCGCTAGGCAACGGTGACAATAACACAATTCTATTGCAATGCTATGGATTTTGATTGTGTAACCTTAAAGTTGTAGTTGTGTTGACTATCAGTGTGCATTATTATAGTGGTGAATAGTGGTACAGTAATAGGGTAAAGTGTGGTGAAAAATAGCGTTCGTACCACGGACCGAAATGGTTTTGCAGCTCTCGATCGATTTAAGTTCGAGACGAAGTCTAGAAAAACTATCTCGAGCCGGCAAAACCTCATTTTCGGCCCTAGGTACGAAATATACTATTTCACCTCAATAATTTTAAATCCCGAGTGGTGTTTTTCCTGTCAATGTAATAGAAGTAACTTTCTAAAATAACAATAATAAATGATTGAACACGATAAAATGTGTTAACAAAAGAATTAGGAGGCTGAAATCCCGATTTATTGATCATGATTTTTTCATGATAAAATTCAAAGAATATTAATTAAACTTGAATTTGAAAAAAATAAATTTATTCAAATTTTAATAAAATAATACAAAAAGTATGTTTTTAGAAACTTCATTCCAAACTAAAATGTTATTTTTTTTCAACAATGCTACAAAACAGCGTATGCCAATGTAATCATGCAGAATAATAGTAATCAAAATACAATATTATATGAGGTTGAGACAATATCTTAACTATTTTGGACAACAGTATTATTATTTTTTTTTGTTTTAAGCTTGGTTGGCCTGAACATTTATTGTATCTTCAGAGCCCATATGATCGATGCCTGTAACGTTATCTTTTATATCTTCTATCTTATCAATATATACTTAACAAAATTAATATTTTCTCTATAATATCGATGTGTAACCCATCCTAGTAAACAGATATGTATGATTAAACTGTAGTTTTAAAGCTTATGATCTAGCGCAGAGATCAATAGTAAATAAAAACTGTTGTTTCTTCTAGGGCTTCGCCCTTAACCTTTGCTTTATTTGTGGATGGTGTTTCCAAAGGTACAATGTTGCAATTTGCAAGTACAACTTTAATTATGACTTTGATTTGTCATTCAACCACTAATTGACTTTAGTTTAGTTTTAAAATACAACCAGATTCTGAACAAGAAACAAAACAGTTATGACGTTACCACGATCCAAAATTACATTTTGTAATTTCCGATTTTGTTTATAATTCAAAATAGTAACTCATACAAGCAATAAATTAGTAAGGCAACAAGCTATAAAAATTGTTATACAAGACAATTATGGTTTCCGCGATGTGTTAGGTGGCATTTAAGTGCAATAAAGCCACAAACACCCTGTTATGTAACATCATTATAATATGCAGCTTGTTAGTTCCAAGGTTTATCTACCAAGAGTGTTTTGAATATATTTCACCTTCAGCTTGTTACCATAAGTAGCTAGAGCAGAGTGGAATGAATACAAAAGAGGTAGTTTAGAATATTAGTATTTTACGCACAATTACTTAGACAATACATTATGTTTTTAGCGAATTTCCCTATAGGGAAGTAGCTATTACCGTAGGTCTCATGGTAAGACCTAGGCCCGGGACCAATTTACTTTTTCATTTTGATGTCCCCAGAGGCCAAAAACACCATTCGTTCAAATTTTTATATATCTATATATAGAGATATATATATATATATATATATATATATATATATGTGTCCATCCGCACGATAACTTGAGTAATTTTTGTCCGATTTTGATAAAATTTGGTTTGAAGGTGTAAGGCGGGATAAACTCGAACGAGTTCGCAAACCAGCATGATCGGACTATGGGAACGGGGGTTTACGGGGGGTTTTATGGGGTAAAAATAGGTTTTTCCCATTTTTGACCCAAAAAAAATAAAATTTTGCAAAATCTTTTCAAACCATTTTGTAGAGCTTAAAAAAACAAATAATTTAGTATATTGAAGTGTTACTATGCGCCTAATGGTTACGGAGAAAATTCCAAAAAAATGTAAATTTTAAATTCCCATGTTATTCTTATGGAGAATGAGTAAACCGTTGTAGTTTGCTTGTTTATGAACATATTTTGATCAAATTTGGAAAATGTTTTTATTTCTTACTAACTATTAACATTTTACAAAAAAAGTTTTACCCTCCCTGATGCAGCAAACCTAAGTACCTGTTAAAATAATTCTATTTAAATAGGAAATAAATGTTAAATTTTTAAGTAGACATTTTAGTGTAAATCCAATCAGACATATGGAAATTCGCTTAGTCTGCAGGTTTGCTGCGGCGGGGGTATTTATTCTAAAAGTTAGCCTAAGTGTTCACGAGTGATTTTTGCTACGTTAAAATAATTGAACAGTATCAAAAATTGAAGTGCATATAAATATACTGGGCTTTGTTAACAATCAATACAATTATAAATGTCGATGAATGGGGGGTTTTAGGTTGGGTTAAAGTCAATGGGGTTTGTTTTAAGCTTAAAATTTATTCAATTTAGGGGGAAATTATTTCAATTTAAAGTTAATCAAGGTCAAATCATACTTATAATGCAAAACATTGTAAAGTATTAAAATTCTACTTTTGTACTTAAATGCTTTCGTGTTGTTTATTCTTTCTTAATTTATCTTCCTTTACATTACATTAAACATACTATTTATTTGTGAACTTTTTAAAACTATGCACACAGCTTCGAGGTGAAATGGTGGATACAGGGTACCGTAATGTTTGCAATCGTTTTGACTTCCGTAATACATATTAATGTTAGTATTCATTGGTAATACTTTTACAATTCGTAAAATTATGATTAGTATCATACAAATGCACTGTATGTAGTATAGATAATATATAATATTATTTGCCTATTTATAGAAAGGATATAAGTAATCTGTATTGACAACACTTACACCAAACAACAGTATCACAAACAAAATTGTTACAACTATAGATGTACTTTGAAAAAAATATGATTAAAGAAGACAATTTAATTAATAACAAATTAAGATATTATTTTATCTGCTATATTACAGATCTACAATTAAAGCGTTTTACCACTGTTTAAAGCTAACACTGCTCCAAACCCCCATCTACCGATTTGAAAGGAGTATGAATTGTGCAGTGGGAATATCTACGGCTTTGAAAAAAACGTTCCAATGTTTTAAGACAGCTCTTCGCTAAAGGCACCTCAGATTTTTATCTGATAAATTGTAGATGTATTTAAAAAAATCTTTGGTAAATACGACACTTCATTAAAACACCAACAACAGTCTGCGTATTAGGTGTTAAAAATATCCACAATAGTCTGTGTATTGAGGATTAAAAATATCCAAGACTATGCAAACACTTTTCAAAAGTTCATAATCAAACCGACTTACATAAAAAGATACAGGCGTAAAGAGTAAGAGGAGGTTAGGAGGAGGGGAGGGACTGGCAAAACAAGAATCAGCGGAGCACGGCGCAAGCTCAGTAGTTGTATTGGTGCCGACAACGCCGGACCAGACAATACGCATGCGCAGTTGTTTTCCCAGAGTAGACAATAGCCTGACTAACAATCTAACCGACTAAACGATGGGACATTGTTGATTTGAAGATTTTTTTGCGGTTTTTGTGAAATGATAGTTTATCCTCCGCCAGTGACCATGGCGACTAGACGAGGAGTTCACCCGAGATTCCTCAAGAAGATGACAAACATCAAGACTCCCAAGAGACAGGTGGTTCAATGGAAGCAGACCAATGTAGAGCACGGGGTGGTCATTGTAGACGAGAAACAGCTGTTGAAGTTGATCAAGACCGAGCCCATAGAGAAATATTATGAACTAGACCCTGAGCCGTTCGCCACGTGAGTAATTTTATTATACATTGGTTTCTGGGACTTAATATGTTGTATTTGATCCTTTGTCGTTAAGCTTTTAAAAACTGGTTTCATAATGTCTTTCCAATTAGTTTGGAAAATCATTTTCTTCTCTGAAAATCACTTACAGTACTAAACCTCAAAAGGACTACACAAAGTCATTCAGGTTTGACGGTAACAATTTTTATCGTAATTATTAGGTGATGCTGAAGTAGAAACTGCCTATGGACCAGCTGTGGCCATTTTCTCTTCAATGGTACATGGTTGAATATTGTGGTTGAATAAGCCACTCACAGAGTTCGCTGCTATCGAAATCTTGTTTTCTCCTTTAAACTTAAATACTTTGGTAGTTGAATGAGTCATAAAAGATCCTATAATAGACATTAAGTCGCCTTTTATTCACCGTGGTTGAAAGTTGGCTTATTCGTAATTTACAGCCCTGTACTCTGTCCGTGGCCCAATTCAATTATGTTTACTTCGATTTCAAAACTGGCAACAACTTTCATTTAGGAATGTAATGTCTACTTATATCAATAGTCAAATGATAATCGTTGATCATAATATTTCATTGAATATTATGATTTATCAACTAAGTTGTGACGTTGTTAATCGATTTGTTGAAAGATATAATTATTTATTGAGTACGAATTCACACAATAAAATCACCAGTGTGTTATTGCTTGTACCCAGTGTGTTACTGCATGGTTTTTATATTAGAAAGAGGAATCGACTTAATATTGAGCAACAGTTTTATAAATTTGAGTTCTTGAAGTCTTGAGTTTACCTTTCACGTGGTTTCAATGTAAAATCTATAGCCCGTAACTTAATGCTAAATTTTTGGCAACAGTGTCCTTGTTTAAAATCACCATTATTTCAGTATACTAAGAAGATAAAAATAAATATGTTCATCATTCATACGAAAATACCTGTTTACATGCTAGACAGCTCTTTATAACTATTAAATAAATATGTCTGATGCTTGGCTATATGTAGGTTTTTTTATTTTTGATTATTCTATAATATGATCAACTCTTCTTCTATAATACTTCTTTTATAATATGGATGGGTTCGTTTCAACACTGTTTTGATAAAGTATCCAATTATATTCTCAATTTTCAGTAAAATAAATGTTTCCACAACATTAAAACAACATTGATAAATGTGTGTTTATTGAACAATAAACTGATGTACCTTTTACATTATCGATCTTGTGACTTTCAAATATTTTTTTTACAATCTGAGGTGAATTTTGGCTCAAAGCTTATTTTATATTTGCTGCGAGTAGAACGATAATAAGCCATGCTCTGAGCAACCCCTAGTGTTCATATACTTGTTGTATTTCTGGTGAAATAATTTAGTGAAACGTTCCTATTTCATTTTCGTTACGAATTTTGTTCAAGTAATGTTCTTTAATTTTTAATAAAAAATCTCTTAAACTCATTAATTTTCTCTCAATGCTGTAATGCAATTATGAATAGATTGACAGACCTATTAAACCATCGAAATTATTTAAACAAAATACAAGGCATCAAGAATTATAAGTTAAACCGTTACTAGACTATTTTTTAATATTAGCGAATTTCCCTATAGGGAAGTAGCTATTACCGTAGGTGGCACGGTAAGACCTAGACCCGGGACTGATTTAATTTTTCATTTTGATGTCCCCAGAGGCCAAAAACACTATTCGTTCAATTTTTTATATATGTATATATATATATATAGACATATATATATATATATATCTAATATATAAAATTCTCGTGTCACAGTGTTTGTCTGCAAACTCCTCCGGAACGACTTCACCGATCGTTATGAAATTTGGTGTGTAAATTCTGTAGGTATGCGAATCGGACGTAAACTATTTCCCGTTTCGAAATTCTTAAAAGGGCTCCGCCCCAGTGGCTCTGGAGTTTCCCATGTTAACCTTATGAGAAATCGAATTAATGAATCTTAACAGCTGTTTCAATTAAACAAGTTGGTTCTGTTCTATGATGTTCAATAGCATTAAAGTTACAATCTAATATATAAAATTCTCGTGTCACAGTGTTTGTCTGCAAACTCCTCCGGAACGACTTCACCGATCGTTATGAAATTTGGTGTGTAAATTCTGTAGGTATGCGAATCGGACGTAAACTATTTCCCGTTTCGAAATTCTTAAAAGGGCTCCGCCCCAGTGGCTCTGGAGTTTCCCATGTTAACCTTATGAGAAATCGAATTAATGAATCTTAACAGCTGTTTCAATTAAACAAGTTGGTTCTGTTCTATGATGTTCAATAGCATTAAAGTTACAAGGATTACCAACAGGGTGCAGCACTATTTTTTTTTAATTTATGACAACAGCTAATTTCCAACCAAAAGGTGAGTGAGCGTAGCGAACGAACTTCAACCTGGAGGCGAGTTAGCGTAGCGAACGAGCTAACCTGAAGGCAAGTGAGCGCAGCGAACGAGCTCCAACCTAAAGGTGAGTGAGCGTTGCGAACGGTCTCCAACCCAAAGGTGAGTGAGCGTAGCGAACGAACTTCAACCTGGAGGCGAGTTAGCGTAGCGAACGAGCTAACTTGAAGGCAAGTGAGCGCAGCGAACGAGCTCCAACCTAAAGGTGAGTGAGCGTAGCGAACGAGCTCCAACCCAAAGGTGAGTGAGCGTAGCGAACGAACTTCAACCAGGACGTGATTGAGCGATGCGAACGAGATCATCTTGAAAATTAAACGTAATGGTACTTTCTTTCCATCGGTCTGTCTTAGGGGAAACCTATAACTTAGGTGATACGAAGTTCGCCGGGTCAGCTAGTATATATATATATATATATATATATATATATATATATATATATATATATACGTCCGTGAACGCGATAACTTGAGTAATTTTTGTCCGATTTTGATGAAATTTGGTTTAAAGGTGTAAAGCGGGATAAACTTGAATGAGTTCGCGAACCAGCATGATCGGACCATGGGAACGGGGCTTTACGGGGGGTTTTATGGGGTAAAAATTGGTTTTTCTCACTTTTGACCCTCAAAACACAAAATTTCCCAATTTCTCTTTAGACCTTTTTAAAGAGCTTAAAAAAACAAATAATTTAGTATATGAAAGTATTTTTGTTCGATTATTAGTAACGGAGAAAATTTAAAAAATTGTAAATTTAAAATTCCCATGTTATTCTTATGGAGAATATTGTCAAATGTTGTAGTTTGCTTGTTTATGAATATATTTTGATCAAACTTGGCAAATTTATTTATTTTCTACTAAGCTATCAATATTTTACTCAAAAACACACTTTATTAGTTTCCTTGTAGCAGCAAACCTAGGTACTCGTTAAACCTAATGTTATTAAAATATATTTAACTGAAAATCAATTCAGACAAATGGAAATTCGCTTAGTCGGCAGGTTTGCTGCGGCGGGGGTATTTTTGACATAGGCCTAGTCTGGTACTTTCAAATTTTTAATATTTTTTCATAAAGGTTTCTTTACTACCCAACTTACATTTTGAAAACACAATAACTATTAAAACTAATTACAAACCGTAGAGTTCGATTACGTAAAAACATTTCTTTACACATGCTAAGTCTTTTTATTTTGTAAAAGCTTTTGAAGTGTAAATCATCAAAAAAATTCAGTAGCCTATTTTACATTCAAATACATTAATCTTACATATTTAGATTTGATTGGTTTTTTGTTTGTAATCAATGCGTATAGTTGATTTACTGATTGTAGGGGTAAACAAGGTAGGCCAAGTATGTTTAATGGAGGCTTCAAATATCATTTATAACTTTCTAAAGACACTTACATATTTCGTGTATTGTTTTAGTTTTTTTATTTGTTTATGTCTCTACATTGTATGTCAATTTAACAAATATTAAGTTATTAATTTAAAAACACATTATTAATAGGGATATTATTTATTTAAAGAGACTCTACTATTTAATTTAATCTTGTGGAAAAATTGTTCCGTAATTTTAAGTTACATTTTACATTGATAAAAAAATAGAGTGAACTTAATTTTTTAGTATGTCCTAAGCCTTTGTGTCTCTTTTGGTCGCCTCTTTGGCCTTCCATTAGTCGAATTTCCCTATTGAATGAACGAATGAAATAATATGTTTATTTTCCACATAATAGGCTATACAGAATTACAATGTACGTACTTTTAATACGTAACGATTATAAAATATTTACTAAAACTAAAATAAAAAAAAGAACATTTCTGTATTGACTTAAGTAGGATTTGATTTATTAGAAAGTAAGCAGACATAGACAAGTGCTGCCCTTGCGTCTGCTGGGATGCTATTTAGAAAAATAGTAAATCATCGAAATGAAATTATTTGAAAATTAAAATAAACTGTTGCTTGAAAAGTATTAGTACTAAGAAGTAGCTATTACCGAAAGAGGCTCGGTAAGACCTGGAGCGGGGACCGATATACTTTTTCATTTTGATATCCCTTTAGGCCAAAAACACCGTTACAGTAGTTCAAATTTTTAAATGTGATCCCGTGAGCGCGATAACTTGAGTAGTTTTTGTCCGATTTTGATGAAATTTGGCTTGAAAGATGTAGGGCAGAATGAGTTTTGATGTGTTTGCGAACCAGCATGATCTGACCATGGGAACGGGGTTTTGTGGGGGGATTTACGGGTAAAAATTTATTTCTCTCATTTTTTACCCAAAAAAATTCCCAATTTCTCTTCAAACTGTTTGAAAGAGTTAAAACAATAATTTGTTATACAGTATTGAAGTGTTTTTAGAGTTATTGGCTACAGAGAAAGTTGAAAAAAGTTGTAAATTTATAATCTTTCGTGTTATTCTTATGGAGAATAAGTACACTGTTGTGCTTGTTTTTGCATATATTTTCATAAAACTTGGCAATTTTTTTTATTTTATACTAAGCCATATTTTACTAAAACACACATTATTACCTTCCCTGTAGCAGCAAACCTAGGTAGGTACTTGTTTAACCTAATATTGTTTACAGTAAATAGATTTAATTGAAAATCC